GTGAGCATTGGTAACTGGTTCCTGTTTGAGCTATGATTTGTGCCAATATGTTCCCTCCGTCAAGAGTAAACACACTTGGTTGACTGTGACAATGCCCGATCTGGGGATGGCATGAGTAATCCGATCACTTTGATATTCCTGTTCTAAGAGGGGGGGGGAGGTATGCATGTTTATGCCCGGGTGGTGATTCTCTGTTCCGAGCAATTGATCCCTACCCTCCACCATGCACTTTCATTTTGGAGTGCCATCGAAACTGAAGATGTTGGGATGATTTGGTTTCGATATATAGCGATGTGAATATTCTGTGACAGCGGGGTCAAAACGTCTTAGTTATCCTTCTCAATGTGGAAACATTAGCGTCTCTGCCACACACACACACACACACGCAAACCTATAGTGTTCCGACTTGTGAGCTAAGCGCAAAATTTATTTGACCGAGCAACTGGTTCTAATCGTCAGCTAGCATCAAAAGAAAGGAGAAGGGATCATTAGGATAGTTGCATTATATTTTTTTATCGTTCAACTTCTACGAAAAACCCGGCAGATTGATCTCGCACAAAACTCGCAATTAAGTAGCAAGTAGTGAGTGCTACATTGAACCGGGGGGGGAGAGATTACGTGAGATTAGAAAAACAAACAACTGGGAGAACGCCAAGCAAAGGGACATGGGTCAGAAAGAGGGAGACGATCAGCAGAATACGCGTGGGCGGGTTGAGAGTGTGCATTTACAAGTTGCAGCGCACTGAGACCGAAAAGAGAGCTGAACATAGAGAGAGATACGAAGATCCAGGGGTCGGAGAGGGAAGAGAAACGGGATGGGAAATGGCCGGGGTGTGTGCAAGCACGAGTTGTGTACGCAGAACAACAAGGACGACAGTGATCGGATAGTGTCAAATTATCACAGCTCTGGGTAGATAGATACCAGTATTTTCATTGACCTGTAGGACCTCTTCCACTTCGTTCTAGTCCTTCCTCACCCTCTCACACACATACGCACATAGTGCTGCGAGGTTGGAGGATGGAAGTGGTGATGATGGTGAGGCATGGTGCATAGACTGTGTAGATTGCTTGGTGTTCGTGGAGTGTGTTGGGAAGGGGAGCGCAAGGGACGAGAAAGCAAGCGCACTTAGTTCACGCATGCACACATCTAGTTTCTGTCGAAAAGAGTGCTTCACATGAACCGGAAGAAAATGTACGTGAAAATGGCCAGAATCACTATACAGAAAAGCACATAGAACACCCAGGCAGATTGCAAATTGAGAGCGGTCGCATCCTGTTTGTATTTCTTTGACATTGTGGACAGATGAGACGCACGTTCGTCCAAAGCTGAAAGAGAATGAGATAGAAGGTGATAGTGCAAATCGTGGGGACAGATACTAGAGAGAGACTGACGCTCGATGGGATCATTCCTGTTTTCGGATTATGAACAACACATTATTCACATTTGCAACACAACTACTTGTGAGTAGTGAGTGGTGTGGCATAAACAACACGGATTTGAACTGACCATCCTCGGACTTCGCCTTCACGCACACAATCCTCAGTTCTTCCAGTCAACCATACACTCGTAGAAGCACTACGTACTCGAGTTTCGCTCTTATTAGAGCTCATCATCAGTAGTGCACCATATTCACCGTCCGGGATTGGAACTCCGGACCGTTCGGGCAGGGAAGGCGTGCGCGTTACCAGCACTGTGCCAACCAGCTCGCGCTGAACCGAATTGGGAATTCATGTTTGTTCCGGGTGTCGTCTTCATAGATAGTCAGTCAGTTCATTTTGGCCCATCGTAAAAAGGGCAACTCAGCTGACTATCAGTGAACTCCAACCGAACGCCTCCCGCCAAATCACAACACATTAGTTAAGAAACGATACGGGGCGGAACTTATAGAGCATATTCCAATAACCGATTCCATGCAGATACTACATAAATTAGCGAATACAAATCCAATTTTACTCATTCCAGTTGAACTGTCATGTTTTGTCCACGGAGCAATGATTTCACTCGTTTTTTTCGGCAGAAGAAAACTGTCTACGAGTGATTTGAATGTGCCTATAGTCCTGTCCCGCGATGAGGCATCGAACTGAGTTGGCGATCTGAAGCTTGAACTCGCTGGACAGATTAGGAGTTCGTGGAGTGCACCGTGAAACATCTAATCAATAATAAACCATTGTTAAAACTGTATTTTTTAACGTTTCATTCATTTTTATGACAAAATCTCAGAAGAAAATCAGACACTCCACGAGCACGCACAAAATTGAGTCGTTGCATTGTTAAAGTACCCTCGAAAGCCATCGTACAGTCGGGGGTGGTTGTCTTAGGTTGTTCCTGGTCACCCTTCCCGTACACATCACGAAATGCTCCCATGGAATCAAGTGCCTCGAATAGCCTCTGCTGAGGAAGCTCTACACACTGCCTTCTCAGAACAGAGGGTGGTGGTGGCCCGGTGGTAACGTCACCAAATTATCATCCCGGGGATGTGTGTTCGAATCCCACCACCACCGCCTGACTTTCCCCATTGTGTTCGATTGGCC